CTTCCCAAACAATTGTATGCTGTAGTAAACATCCATGCTCACCAAGGCGTTCACATTTAAGACTTGGAATGGACCGGATTTGTAATTACTGTGCTTATATACGTGTGCATGCATAAGCGTGTGTATACGTACATGGCGTATGTTGTACATGTCTGTTTTTCCATTGTATATATGTATACAAGCCAACTGCATTTCTGCATTACCTAAAGTGAATGTTGTTGTTTCTTCTTCCAAACACTTTGCATCTGCACAAGCACTTACAGCATGTCTGCACAAGCAAATATTTCAACAACATACTTGGCATGTTGATCCAGTGGTATTTTACACTCAACGTTTTTGACAGACAAATCAGCCTTTCACTTTCTGGCCCACATGTGGAATGTATGTATGCATAGAGATGGATATTACATCTTTGACACACGCAGGAATCCACAGATTTCACCCTGCTCCATGAGTACATATCTGCTCATGCCAGTGTTTAATGAAACTCATATTTACAGAATGAAGCAAACTTTGATTAATTTAGATAGTGTGTAACTCTGCCTTCTTCTGAAGCCTTGAACATGTCTCTGCAACATAATACATCTTGAATGTTATGTTTAAAATCAGGATTTTTTTATTTTATTTTTTTTTTGCCAGGTATGAGATACGAGATGTTTAGAGCAGTGATATTCAAAATATGGTCCATGATGCATAGCCAGAGAGTTCTTTTTTTTTCCCACACTGATGGAAAACACAACCCAATATTATAGTTATTATTATATGTGTTAATTATTAGATTTATTTGCCTGTTTGACTGGTCACTTTAATTGAATGGGTTTAATCCAAACCTCAGTAACTCAAAAATAAGTAGGCCTATAAATAGTGAACCTGGACCTAAGGTGTTCTGTCAGTGGAAAAAAATTCAGGAATGAAAAGCTGTATGAATACAATAAATAGCCAGAATATTATTCTCAGAGGTGAATCGTGAATTCAGCTATTTATGTGTATTTATGCAGAAAAATAAACAAGTGCTTGAGTCTCTGAAAGGAGCGACTTTATGTAGCCATGGTTGTTATCCTTTCCTGATAATGTCAGTGGTGATGAAGCATCAGATTTGTACCCTTGACAGACAGTTTTTGGCTTTCACCAAGAGATGTGGTTGTAAAAACATTACTTGAGTCTGGCTAGGATCTTCATTTTTGCTCAATGATGTGTTTAAATATGAGCTGGCTGTGTTGTGTTTTAGAGTATTAGAGCATTTATAACTATTTTTGTGATGCTCTGTCCTGTATTTTGCTCAGTATAACCACTGTTTTTACATCCCTTCCTGATTTGGATTGCCTTGCATCCGTTCAAGATAATTGATATGCCTAGAAAAATAAATACTACAAACAGTCAGACCATGTCCTTGGTGTGTGTGTGAGTCGTTCAGCAGGTGGCGGGATTCGGAAAAGAGTAGTGCACCAAAGAACTGAGCTACTTTTAGCCACGGAGAAATATAGTATAGGAACCAATTACAGTTTGTTATGTTTAAACAAACATATCAAGTGAAAAGTTTTCTTTTTGGAAAGCCAATAGGGAGTAGAGTTTTTTTCTTCAGTTGTTTAATGTGTAAAGTTAAAAAAAATGTTGGTGACGGTTATATCAACACCCTACTGAACTAGCTTGTCCCCTGGCCAAACTCAGTGAAAAACTGATAGCCGGGATACGTCATTTGTTTGTCCCTGGTGTCTGGGCTAGTGATTTGTGCCCCCACCCTTTTTGTTCATATTCAGATAGTTAGCCAAACAGTTGGATTATATTCATAAAACAATCCAGTGCTGAGTGGGTCTGTGGAATATATTCCTAGCTACAAAAAGTTTGGTTTAAAGAATTGCACATGGTGAAGGTGTCAGCTTAAATTTCATTAGTATAAAGAATAAAGGATAACATGTGCCAAAGGTAAAATATAAACATACAATAGAAGAAATGAAGACATGTGTTAAGAGTTGTATGATTAAATCTTAATTACCAATGTTTACAACTTGCATGGTATAAACTGGTAACACACCCAGCCTTGCCAAACAGTGTTGATATCTCAAGTGTGTGATAGAGATTACATGTTCACTCTCTCAGCACAGAATGCCCCCCTTCCCTTTTTTCTGCCTGTTGAAAACAGCCAAAAGATGACATGCGAGATTTCTTTGTTTTTGAGATGTACACTCTGTTCTTGGGTTTAAATTCAGTGTTGACCTTCCTCTGACTCTGACTACATACTTCTTTATAAGAAATCAGTCTTTGGCTGACGTTGTTCAAAATAGTTTTGTTCCATATTGGAATGGACAAACACTGCAGCCACATGGCAAGCATTACAAAATTTTGGAACTGCTTGAATATTTTTATTTTAAAACGATTTAAAAGGTTAGGGTGTTTCCTTTTAGCACACAGTTGTTCCGAAGTACAATTTTCTCTGACTAACACTTGGCATGTTTGGCGGCTGTCCTGTTTTTAAGCACTATAAATCCCAGCTTATTATTCAGTAATTCAACTGTTGTTCCACAGCACACAGTAACTATAAATGGACAAAAAGTATGATGTGTCATTCTTTAATAAATAAAATGTTAATGTTGGCAAAATTGCTGCAGTATATGAGGAATAAAACACTTGAAGATGTCGTATCACACCGTTGAGTGATTGATTAGTTTCCTATAACAGCATGTCTAAATGTATTTTATTCCTTATATAAAGTGTACATATTAACATATTTAATATGTCTAATTCACATTTCCTTATCACAGTATACCATCATAGTAGTGTATCGTCAGACACTTAACTGCTGTCATTTCAAAAGTCTTAAGATTAAGTTTTGTATCTTGTGTATCATACCTGTATAGCACGTTTTCATTCTTGAACAAAAAGTCATACTAGCACATACTATGCTCTAAACCTCCCTGAAGTGCAGATGCTGTGGACAGTGTAGTGAGTGTAGTGAGCTGCACCAAAATCACTGCTCATCACCAAGTTTAAACTGCGATGAGTCACACATTCAGTGAATATTCCAGGGAAATTCCTTATAACCCAGGGTTCCAGTGTTCCCGTGACCGCATTCAGGCCTGAAGTCCGTGCATCACTAATCAGAGCGATAAACAAACATGTCATGTATGGTCCATGGGCTCCTATCAGGGAAACTTGGAAACTGTGTTTATAAGCATTTGCACAAGTGCATCACTCACCAAGGGCCAGATGTTTTGTCACGTGTCATTTTTGCAAACATTGGTTTGCAACAATGCATTTGTGTTCCTGGTTCAAGCATATTTACCAGTCAGTGCACTGACAGATTTCAGCCGTAATAGCGGCTTCAAAAGCTCTGACTCTATTATGAATTGATATTTGATTGACTGCCATTGCCCTAGCTTGACATGTTTATATCTGCTGTTTCTCAATGTAGAAGAAAAAGAAAGCAAAAAAGAATGGAAAGAAGAAGAAGAAGAAAGAGAAAGATCTTACAGCAGACAGGTTGGTAATAAAAGAGAACTTTTAAAAAATATATGAAAAAACATGTTTACAGGCATTATGATTTTTATATGCATATAAAAGAGCCCGCTCAAGGACATGATTGTGGGGTGTTTTGAGACTTGAAACGAGTTTAGTGTTTTATGTGGTCAGGCTTCTAAATTGTTCTTACAGTGAACTTTAAATCTGCTACACTTAAACATCTCACACATTTTTATTTTCTCTAGCGTTTCTAATCTCTCTAATGTCTTTCTAGCATTTTCCATACCTCTGTAATCTGTCAGACTTTTGTCCCTCTATAAAATTAAAAGAAGCCCTATTAAAGAACTTTTATCCATTCAGTTACATTTAAATTTTTGCATGACTTTGTGTTTAACAGTGAAACTGTATGTTGCCATAGTTTTGTACTTAATATATATACAATATATACGTATGCATATATGTGTGTATATATATATATAGGGGTGTAATGCAATGCCACCGTCTTTATCTGTATCAAGAACTTTATTCAACTTCTGAATTTGTACAGTACAGTTCCTCAGCTACATCACTCAAGGTCATAATCGGTCTCAGCGAGTTACGCTGTGACACCCTTTCTATCTGATGTGACTGAGTAAGCTATGGAAGTATCTTTCAAAACAGCAATGTCTTTTGCAAATCGGGGAACTGTTGTCAATAGCTGACAGCAGTACCCCCCTAATAATATTTGATCAGATTTACTTTAGCTTCTGGGTTTGTTACATTCCAGAAAGATCAGAAAAATTGAGTCTGCTACATAGCAGAAGTCTGCTATGAGAATCTGCTACAAAGCCAGGACGTAGTGCTGCTGCGTGTCAAACTGGGGTCTTTTAAGATGTATTTCATTATAATGTCTGTATGAATTTCTGGGAAGATATTTTTAATAATGATGGATGGATTAATAACTTTTTTGAATGATGAAAAACATGTGCAATGAATTTACAAGTTAATATTTTTAATATTAATGAAGTGATTGTTTTTGGAGACCCAGCAGAGATATACAGCATGTGGTCTGTGAGGGCTATATGGAGAGGCAGTTCTATAAATAAAAGCATATTTCTTTTGGGAATTTCAAGCCAGTTTATACAGAAATATGGCAGAAATATGGTTTTATTTTGGAGCTCAGTCAGGCTCAAGCAGTGTTTAGGTTGAGCTACTGGAGCCACTGGTGATAGACAAAAATAACTTATAGCATGCCTCCTATTTGTATGAACTTTGTCTTTGTCCTGCAGACTTCATACTTGCACAAGTTTGAAGTATGACTATGGAATCTTCAACTCATGCGTCTTTTTTGTTGCACCCCACTGGATCCCAATCCCAATGCACACCTCTAGTCTCAACCATGCACCCTGTGAACATTTGACCTGTTTTCTAAGAGAAAAAAAAATAATGCACCTCCTATCTGTGTATCTGTTTAGAACACATTATCTGTTCAATCCAAATAATCTATTAGTATTCAGTATCCCTAATATAATCTAATCTAATCTAATCTAATCCCCCTAATGGGGGCAGTCGTGGCCTAATGGTTAGCGTCTCGGACTTGTAACCCGAAGGTGAACCTGAAGGTCATGGGTTCGAGTCTCAGGTCCGGCAGGGATTGTAGGTGGGGGGAGTGAATGACCAGCGTTCTCTCCCACCCTCAATACCACGACTGAGGTGAGACCCTTGAGCAAGGCACCGAACCCCCAACTGCTCCCCGGCCACCGCAGCAAAAAAGGCTGCCCACTGCTCCGGGTGTGTGTTCACTACTGTGTGTGTGCACTTGGATGGGTTAAATGCAGAGCACAAATTCCAAGTATGGGTCACCATACTTGGCCACACTTCACTTCACTTCATATATATATATATATGTGCGTGTGTGTATACACATATTTATCCATGTACTGTACGTATATAACACACACACACACCATATGTGCTTTTTCAACATCCCATTCCAGATTTAGTCCCCCACTTGCTGTTATAATACTTCTAGGAAGGCTTTCCACTAGATTTGTTGTGGGGATTTGCCCATTTAGCCACAAGAGCATTAGTGAGGTCAGGCACTGATGTTGGAGGAGGCCTGGGATGGGGTCAGAATTCCAGTTCATCTAAAAGGTGTTCAGTGGGGTTGAGGTCAGGTCTCTGTGCAGTCCATTTGAGTTCTTCCACTCCAAACTTGGCTTAACATGTCTTTGTGGAGCTCGCTTTGTGCACAGGGGCATTGTCATGTTGGAATATGTTTGGACCCCTTAATTCCAGTCAAGGGAAATTGTAATGCTACAGCAAACAAAGACATCCTATACAATTGTGTGCTTCAAACTTTGTGGCAACAGTTTGGGGAAGAACCACATAGGGGTGTCAAGGTCAGGTGTCCACAAACTTTTGGCCATACAGTGTATATGTTGTAGATCATGTGTAAAGAACAAAGTCTTATTAAGGGTTAAGCCTGGTTCTCTGATTTACCTCATGGTTCTGTATGATCTGTGTGCTTCTTTTTTATCTTCCTTTCACCCATGGCTATAATTTATACAATGCTGCCCAGAGGAGGATGGACGTTGGCTCGGTTACCTCTCATTTGCCCTCAGCCTTTTTATTATAAGTCCTAACTTGGAATTCTGTCAGGTTACTGTCAGTAAAAATGTCCAAGCCTGGAAGATTTAGCAGTAAAAGGACTGTGACGTTGAAGAGCGAGACATAGCTTCAGATGTAGTAAAATGTGGCAAGCATGAGGTCTTAGATGGGTGGGTTGTGTAATGACGTAATGGCTAGTATTTCAGATGCTGTGTGAATGATTCATCTGCTTCTTACTTAATTTCTCCTTTGCTCTTGTTTTCTGTTTTTCCATCTCCCTCTCCCTCCCTGTCTCTGTAGGACCATTGAATCAATATACGAGGAGCTCGTTCTGGAAGGCATCCTGATTCAGCCGATGACCGTAAAATTATGTGATTACCTCGGTATTAAACAGTCACATACTCTCATGACTCTCTTTCCAGTTCATATGTGATATATGTTAAATCTTTTCTGGGAATGGTTCAAACCTGCCTTCCTTTTGAAGTGTGTACTGACTGTCCAATATGGCTATAGTTTGCCAAGTGTGTACTTAATACCATAAGGTCCTTTTTGCTCAATCCTAAAGTTTTGCCCACTTCTCTAAACTATCGCATCTGTAAATCAGGCCTCAGTAAGATAGATCAATAGCTCTGGGTTTCACAGTAACATCTGATGCTATAACCATCACCACCACAGGCTGAATCATAATCTGTGTGCGTACGTGTGTATCCCGGCGTGACAGAGTATTTTCTCTTCCTCAGTGAGACAGATGAGTCAATAATTTCCATGTGCTCATCAATACAATACCCAGTAAACTAAAAACAGAAGTTAACCGGAGAGCTATTCTAGCTTGTTGCTTCCTCAGTTGGTTTTGATTATGTGCTGTCAGTAGTAATACACATACACACATGCATGGCCTCTTTCAGGTCAGAGATATATATTTAGAGAAATCAAAATGAATACAGTTATTCAGAAACCACGTGAAGCGTTCTTAACCTCGTCTGTGTACCTTTTTTCATGACAGTATTTGTAACATATTTCCAGATGCTTTCGGTCGGCTTATATATTAACTAGCTGTAAAAAGAAAGTGCATAACCAAATGTGCCTTTATATTGAAGTTCATAAAGTTTCAGTTCATGTTTAAACCTTTTCCAGGCCTGGGTGTGGCACTGTAAATAGAAACCACATCAGTTCTGACATGTAAAATATGCCATTTTGATGCAGTTTGGTGGAGTAAGCAGTGTTGCCACAGCAACGTGATGTAATGCGGGCTAACAGCCAGAGATTCACCTTTATCTGTTAATCTTGATGTTATATGGAAGACATGAGTCAATACACTCCCTGTGTCTCTCTTTATATATCTGTTTCTCTGTCCAGGTGAGTGCAATTGCTCATATCTGTAAAATTCTGTACACATACTGTAGTGATGTACCATAAACAGACTTTTAATATTAGTCACTGACTTACATCATGGATTTAAGTGCTTCTGTTTTAATCCTGCTTGTGTAAATTGTATCTCTGTCTCTCCAGGGGAATACAGTTACCTGGGTACGAGCCTGAGGCAGGCAGACATTGAGCCCATGCCATCCCTCTCAGACGTCAGACAGCTCATTGCTCTGTATGGCGTGCTGCCTCTGGGTGAGTAAGTGTTCCCATGTCTGCTCACTCTGTCCCAGGATGCTCTGCTTCCTCTAATCCTAGCCAAAAGTCAATCTACTCAGGCCAGAGAGCACCTGGAAATAGGAGTAAATATGAAGTCAAATATGGAACCATAAGCAAAAGTGTAAGGACAAAATGATACTCATTTCAGATCACAAAGAGGTTTTGTATGGCACAACTTCAGAGTGACACAAGATGATGGATTGGATCTATTGTGTGTAGAAGAATGTCCAAGGGGACGCTAATGAACACCCTGGGAACTAGAGTGGCTCCCATGAATTTTTCAGGAGCATTACTGTTAAAGCTTTGTGTGCGTGTGTGTTGTATGTCATACAGTGCATGCCCTTCTGAACTGTATCTGACCCTATTGTAGCTTATTGCGCAGCCCGGCCTCTTTTGTCACTTTCTCTACAGTGAGCAAGCAATTAGAGGAGAGCGCACCGGTGTCTGGTATCACACTGTCCTCTCCCACTGTCGTTTCTCCCCCGTTTTAATAACCCGTCAGAAGATCTTTCACACCCGCACACGTGTTTAGAGCCCTGGTGCGCTATAACCCCTAACAACGCTCAGCAGCTCAGAGTCCCAGATAGCACTGTGTTACCACATAAACAGCCTCCACGGCACTAAAACAATGAGAGATCAGTCAGCGGCTTAAAAATAATCGCACACTAGAGGGCTCGTGGCCTGTGATCAGGACTCAGCAAGGGAGAGTGATGGAGACCCCCAGGGCCTTTCATCACCTCTCTGCCAGGGGAGAAAGAAAACAGGCAGGACAGAGGCTCTGTATGCAGCAGGGGAAAAAAGGGAGAGAGAGAAAGAGTAGAAGAAAAGGTTTGGAGGCTGAAATTTCTAATAATCTTAATATATCATAGTTGTGTCATATGTCTCCAAAAACACTAGAACAGTAGAAAATTTGATGAAGAAATGAACAAATGGTGGCAAATGGAGGCTTTTCTGCGCCATTCTTCTGTCACAAACCTGTCCATGGTGTCTTCCACAGAGAAGCAAATCAGACCCCAGCAATTTAGCACATGTTTATGATCACTGTTCCTGCTGGGAGTCTGTTTGGGTTGAGGTCTGTTCAGAAGCAGCCCTGAGGCAGGTTTACTCTGCCATTAGTGCAGTGTTTAGGCCTCTTTGCTGATGTTGCACTGAGCTCACTCCATTTGTTTCATTTGCTCGGCTGTGTTTGTGTCGGTCAATCCCTACAATGACATTCCCACACAAAGAGGAGACAGGGAAACATCTGCCATTTACGAGGTGTGGAAATGGATTAGGGTGGATATTATGTATAGCACACTACAGTACAATGGAACTAAAACATACTGGTGAAGACGAGAGTCTAGACTTAATAAAACTTGTTTTTTGGTGCATTTGTGTAGATTTCCAAATTTGCAAAACAACTTCCCTTTCAACACAATCCTCCTTAAACAGGTTACAGAGTTACACGCAAAAAAAAGTGCAATATGTGTATAACTGGTTTCTAATTCTGGGTATAGGGAAGTAAGTAGGCACATACATGCACACACACACGTCTCATGCTGTGGAGAATTTGCTGTTTATATCGCCCCCTGCTGCACAGATTTTCTTACACTGGTTTTCTATACCTACATAGATGACAGGAAATGACATGAAATGACATGAACTGAGGTTTTTCTCAGTGACAGTAATAATTACGTATGCTGAACCTCTAGTTAACTAGGAAAGCTCAGAGAATTGTTATCAAATGTCACGTTGTGCAACCATGCAGTTTTCAAAGCAGTTAAATGAAGGTTGTTTGAGAATAAACTGAACAGCTTGGAACCGGATTAGTTGCCAGATGCTATTCATTTTCAGCTTAGTACTGGTGTTCAAGATAAACTCCACGCTGAAGAACATTAAATATGTTTATGTTGAAATAATTGCAACGTGCTTAGAGATTTTGGTGCTAATATGTTTATTGGTGCTGTATTTTTGTTATTCCTGTGAGAAGTTAGGGCTCGTGTGCTGTGCTGACATCACAGGGCGACACTGCTAATGCAGGTATATTGGTGTTTATTAAGAGGAAAAATGGTAACAATCTCAAACATGAGTGATAATGTAAAACTGATATTGTATAGGTTTTAGTGCAATTTCCTAAAAAATAAAAGAGGCGCTTCTTTTCTCATTCACCGGTTTATATGGACGTTCAGTTCATATTCATAAAGAATCCAATGTAGGAGTAGTGGAAACAGCTAATGTTGGAGTCAAAGTTCCATAATACTGTGCAGATATATGACCCAGTAGCGCTTAGTTTTGGCAGAGACTTGATTCCTCTAGTTAGTTGATAAGCATGATGGTGTTGATTGAGGTCAGTGGTGTTAGCATGTTCAAAGTTGAAGCTTGGGAGCCTGATCAGTTTGTACAGATGAGGAGGTGAGAGA